TTTAAAAGATGCTTTTTGGCAAATCCCACTCGATACCGCATCTCGCGACAAAACCGCTTTTACCATACCAGGTAGACCTTTATATCATTTTAAGGTCATGCCATTCGGGCTCTGCAATGCTCCTCAAACCATGTCCCGCTTGATGGACAAGGTAATACCAGCGGCTCTGAGGAATGAGGTGTTTATATATCTGGATGATTTATTAGTGGTTTCAGATAGTTTTCAGGCGCATATGCATGTTTTGCGCAAAGTAGCTTCTTGCATACAGGCAGCCGGCTTGACAATAAATTGCGAAAAAAGCAATTTCTGTATGCGTAGCGTAAAATACTTAGGCCACATAATCGGAGAGGGAGTAATACGCACAGACCCTAGCAAAGTGTCAGCGATTGTAGATTTTCCTTTACCTCAGAATTTAAGGGCGTTAAGGCGTTTCCTTGGTATGGCCGGATGGTATAGAAAGTTTATAAACAACTTTGCTGGAGTCACTGCTCCACTAACAGATTTGCTGAAGCAAAAGCGTAAATTTACTATGTCTGTCGAAGGAGAAAAAGCGTTTGAAACTTTAAAATCAATGCTTAGTTCTGCTCCACTTTTGATCAGTCCCGATTTTTCCAAACCTTTTTACTTACATTGCGATGCAAGCAAGACAGGAGTAGGTGGGGTTCTTGTACAAAAGTCAGAAGCAGGAGACGAAATGCCGATTGCATTCGTATCTAAGAAATTAAACAAGGCCCAAAGAAATTATTCTGTCACCGAGCAGGAATGTTTGGCAGCCATCGTATGTATCAAACGATTTCGTCCGTATGTTGAAGGGCATGAATTTACAGTCATTACCGATCATGCCTCTTTAAAATGGCTTATGTCGCAAACCGATTTACATTCCCGTTTAGCGCGTTGGTCGTTAAAACTGCAGGGTTTTCGATTTAATATTGAGCATCGAAAAGGCAAATTAAATATTGTGCCAGATGCGCTGTCACGCGTAAACGAGGACGAATTAGCAGCAATTGACTATAATAAGGGCCTAATTGTAAATTTGGACTCAGAACATTTTAAGTCAGCTGATTATCTGGATATGGTCGAGTCAGTTAAAGCCAACAATGACCAGTTTCCGGACTTGAAGGTGGTTGACAATATGCTGTATAGGCGCACCGTGCATACAACGGGTGATCAGCTACACGACAATTATGCTTGGAAATTGTGGATACCTAAGAACTTGGTCGAGGAAGTACTCCGCAATGCCCATGACAATCCGTTAGCATCACATGGCGGGATCCATAAAACGTTGGAACGAGTCCGGCGTTACTATTTTTGGCCTGGTCTTGTTGATGATGTCAAGACGTACGTAAATGCTTGCGAAACTTGCAAGATGACAAAAGCACCGAATTTTCCGATGCGACCACCTTTGGGCAAACCTGCGGAGTCTGAGAGATTTTTCCAACGTTTATACGTTGACTTTTTAGGTCCATATCCTCGGTCACGCAGCGGAAATATTGCCATCTTCATTGTTTTAGATCATTACTCTAAATTTGTTTTTCTGAAGGCAGTAAGGAAATTGAATGCAGAAACGGTTGTTAAGTACATGCAGCAAGAATTGTTTCATACATTTGGGGTGCCCGAAACTATAGTATCGGATAATGGTTCCCAGTTTAAATCTGAAGCATTTCAAAAATTCTTGCGGGAAAACAAAATTTTCCATTCACTTACAGCGGTGCATTCGCCTCAGGCAAATGCTTCTGAGCGCGTGAATCGCTCAGTTATAGCAGCCATCCGTTCGTATATTCGTCCAGATCAAAAAGACTGGGATGAAAGTTTGAGCAGTATCTGCTGCGCTTTACGGTCTGCTGTCCACTCTGGCCTCGGCACAACACCTTATTACATGGTCTTTGGTCAGCATATGATTACTTCAGGTTCAACGTACAAGTTGCTTAAAACGTTGCGCCTTATTGAGGATAGAGCGGTTGTTTTCTCAAGAGAGGATTCGCTCGATATTGTGCGCAGTAAGGCGCTTGAGACAATGAAGAAACAGCAGCAGAAGAACGAAAAAATCTATAATTTGCGGTCGCGTGAGGTTTCTTATTCAGTTGGACAAGAAATCTTCCTTAGAAATTTTAAACAGAGTAATTTTCCAGCCGGATACAATGCAAAGTTAGGACCAGCTTTTGTGAAAGCGAGAGTTCGACGTAAACTTGGAAATTCTTATTACGAGGTCGAAAATTTGCAAGGGAAAATACTGGGTCGTTATCATGCGAAAGACTTGCGTCAGTAAGAATTTGTTTTCTTGCAGCGTCTGGTGTTTTCAATCTTGCGTTTGCTTTGAAACCCAAGATTGAATTTAGCAGGGGGGAATTTGTAACGACGCTGGCGGCGAATATCGTAAATTAAATTGCATTCCCTTAGTCAAGCAGTTCATTGGCTATTTATGTTTACGCACTGCTTGTTTAGTTACGGTTTGAATTGGCGATTCGTCTTAGCGCCAACTGCCTATGATCGCATTTTTTATTATTCTTGCCTTAGCAGACGAAACAAACAAATTTTCCATAATTGTTTTTATATATGTACAAAAAAAAATTATTTTCTGCAGCCGCACGGCTATCGGCCACCTATGGGTTATTTTCAGTATTGCTCAGTGGCAATATTTGCTAGTTGTCAGTGGCCCTTTCTTCAACCTTGACCTGTCAAAGGGAGATTGTCAGAAGAGGGGGTGAAGCAATTTCCGCAAAGAAAAGTTTTCTTGCGTAGCCTCGGCATCCGGATACTTTCTTTTCGCTTGAAGATCGCATGGGAGCAGGTTGTGCCCAATATACTCTGGCTGGCAAATATATGGTCATACATATAGTATAACCTATAGTCCGTTTCAAATTCGGCTGGGCCAAAGCGTTAAGCCTGCTGCAACAAATTTGGAGAATTTGCAGTAATCTTTCACTTCAATTGTGTTAGCAAAAGGAATTCTGCCTGGTGCCACTTCCGGATATCGGGTAAATTTTACTTTTTCCGTTTATTCGCATATAAAATGCAAAAGCTAATGCTATTTCTTCATTGTACATTGTTTTCGTGCAGAATTGGCACTTAATAAAAAGTCCAATCCCCATAAAGGGCATTAACCTTTGCTTATCGCTTTGATGGGCACTTGCTAGAGCGACGACTAGGAAAAGGGAAGTGCACGGGAGAAGGAGGCGTGCTAGAAACGAGATCGGCGCTTCGCTCAGGCCACTGGAACGGCGAAAAGAATCACCGCCTCAGTTGCGTGGATCATATCCGATATGACGGTCGTCGGCTTAAGCTAGGGCACCTGTTTTTTTTGTTGCGTTTCCGTGCACCGAAAAGGTGGCGAAGCCCCAGGTGGCTTTAGTGAAGAGGGCCTGCGTAAAAAAAAAAAAAAAAAAAAAATTATAAAAACTATATATATGTAAAACTATACACAAATGTGGGCCCTGCAAAAACAACAAAAAAAGTGCAACCGAGAGAACTAGGCATTTATTTTTTTTCTATTCTTTCGTCTTATATTCTTTTTTTTTGGGTCGTATACGGCCTTATACTTAAATTGATCTATATCCGATGTGAGCAAAGCAGCACGGCCGGGTGTGTAGAGAGGGAAAAAAAAGAAATAAGTGAAAACCAAAGAGAAAAAAAAGAAAAGAGAAGGCAACAAAAAAAAAAGGCAAAACAACAAATAAAAACCCCTTTGACTATACGTTTCGAAATAAAATTTTATTAAGCATGGCGACAAGTGAAGGTATGAAAAGTGCATGTTTTTAAAACCAAAATTTCAACATAAAATTTTACAAACAAATTAAAAATCATAATTAATGTGCATGTAAGCAGCAACGAGCCTATGCAGAGCGCCTCAACGGAAAGATCTTTCGACGTTGGACGACAACTGTAAGTAGAACCGTTTGAATTTTATTTACTTTCATGCAGAAGAGCACGCGTACAAAAACAAAAAAAAAAAATAAATAAAACACCTGTTCATATGCGTCATATGTCTGCCTGCTGGCCATGTAAAGTCTAATTTCCGCATTATTATTATTTTTTTTTAAATCACCGTAATAACGTTATACTTGATTGCGGTCATTACTTACTTAAATTTATGGCCAATCTTTACAAAAAAAAAAAAAAGCGATGCAAGAATTTATAACACTTTAAATATCAACACTTTCTCTTACATCAAATTTTTTTCCTATTATATTACGATCCATTTCAATTATTAACCATCTCTTACAGCCAAGCCGTTGCTTTACTCACCTTGCTCAATTTATATTTACACTAGTATTTTAAGGCAGTCATATGTTTACCTATTCTGCTACTGGCTACGAATCCAGTGATAATTAGCTTTAGATTTCTATTATCGGTTAATGTACGGTCACTTTTTTTTGGAATTCCTTGAAAATTATGATTTTAGTTTTTAATAAAAAGTTTATAATGTTCGCTTAAATTCCGCCTAACATTGATTTCCGCTAGCCACAGCATGTAGAGGTTCAAAGGGGTCATTTGCATAATTGTTTTTGGATATAAATGACCAAGGATGGGTGGGCCAATACTTCCTCAACACCATCAGGGGAATACCAGAGGTGTGTTCACTTGTGTTACGTGGTCTGCCAACCCGCGATCCTTTTGTTAGTCATATTCATGTATATCTTTACCGGTTTTTTTTTGGCTTCCCCACAGCACGCTTTAACTTTAAATAATAAGCTTAATGAAAGGCCGTATGATTGGAGAGACCTCGAACACCACCCACTAGCCGACGAGCCCGAGCCGGAACATATAGCGTGCGCTCTCCAACATACACACACCATCTCGCCTACTCTACTGGGATATGTCCTATACCCGTTACAAGGCAGACAACAAAAGTAGCAGCAGAAGCGACAACAATTGCAAATGAAACAAATGCTGACATGGCAGCAGGGACGTCGACAATGCCAACAGCAGCAACAACAACAGCAGCCAATCCAGCCAATACAACAAAAACAACGGCAGCAGCTTCAAGAGCAACGTTCAGGTCTATGCCACGAACTCGAACATTGAGACGTGCGCCTGAAATGGACGCTGACATTGATGATGTTGATGTGGCTGCTGCTGTTGGTGTTGACGTTAAAGTTGTCGACGACAACGTTATCAAGAACGACGATGACAATGAAGACAGCATAGATAGCATTACTCAGGAGCTGGTAAATGCGACGAAGCCAGTCGCTAAAGAAGCAACCGCAGTTGAAGTCGACCAAGCTGCATTACCTATGACCGAACAGAACTTGGACAACAGCAAACCTTTTAAGGTAAGTTGACAGACATAAGCTTTTCTCTAGTTTTTCACCAGTCAAAGATTTCCCATTGATTTGTAGCCGAGCGAAACTTTTCGTTAAGTGATTAAGTTAGCACAACTACTTTGGCCATGGCTTTTTTGGGTGTTGGCCGCCATTGACGGCGTTGGCACAAAAGTTGAACCTAAAGTGGTTGTGCTTGAGTTGCAATGCAGAAGCACACCCTTTGCGTGTGATGCTTGTTGTGGCTGGATTTTCAAATGATTTCGCAAGAGCTGCAACTTTTGAAGGTCAAAATAAAAAAGCGTTCTTTAAAATAAACCCCCTTGTCTGTTAAAAAAAAATATATTCAGCTCTTTCAATTCTATAAATAAAACAGTATTTATTTGATTATTATTTCTTTTTACAAATTTAATGCCCAGCGAGAGTTTCCTAAATATTCCCCAAATGAAACGCTCGAATATGGACGGCCGATATGATATTCAATTGCCTTGCTAACATCCTGGTTATCAGATATTTTTTAGACTTTTTTTTTTAATTTGAAATAGAAAACTGTTTTAATAACTTTTTAATAACGATTCACAAAAAAGATTCCGATTTGACTGGGAATGCAGCTGGGAATAAATTTGTTTAATATGGCAAACAATTGACTTAAATAAATATTTTAGTACTTTTGTTAGATTCCTATTTATGCCTTCTTCCATTTTACAAGTATGTTGACGACTGCCTATGTATGTTGACTTAAGTAAATGTTAAGCTTTAGCAGTTGCGAGCTACTCGTTTTAAGGCATTTTGTTTAAAACTATAAAATATAAACTTGCATCATTGTGGCGGGCATCACAAAACGGATTAAATGAAATGCGATTCAGATAGGAAGGCAGGGCTTAAAGCTTCAGCTAACCAAAATCTGCACAATAGAAACTTAATTAAAAACTGCCAGAGTAAGAGTACGAGTAGGACTGCGGGTTGGGGGCCCTTTAAGCGCAACTCGAACTAATTTATCATTAGTGCGACAGTCGCCCACTCGTCGACCCATTCACAAGGCAGCGTTGTCTGCGGTTGCCGATAACGTTGCGTCTGGAACTTGGCCACGCATCACTAGACTCGTCTGGGCTTATGCGGGCTCCTGCGCGTTGCGCCCGTGTCTGCACCCTAATCGATTTATTGTGTGGAAAAGCGTTGGAGCCAAATGAACTGTATCTAAAAGATCAACACAAAAAGCAGAATGGCCAGCAAATTGGCTGTCGCAAAGTTTTGAGCGATGCTTTACAAAAGTTATAGTAAGCAACGATGATAAATACTTACAATATACACAATAATATTAACTGACAAGCACACATTTAAGTTACGAGAGAGATGGTTTGGTGCATAGTTGTAAATGTGGCAGGCCACCGAAATTAATTGGCAGCTTATGCAAGACAAATGTTTGGCAATTTGTCTATGGCAAAGATATGGTATACATATATGCATTGAAATGTCTGAGGTGTGTAAATGCTATGAGAGTTTTCACCTTTCTTTATGCTTCGCACACGCTGCTGAAGTATGGTTTTATTAGCCTGATGCTTATACATTGTATGTGTAATTTATGCACATCACACAGCTAATTAATATGCATACCGGAAATGGTTTAGCGGAGCATGAATTTATGCCAGTCTCTCCATCCGCCTTTCATCTGACAGTATATGTCCCTGTCCCTATTTATGGCTGTGCGTTTGCGTGGTTGGCGACAACAACTTGACTCACGTTTAATTAATGGTACATGCCGCCAAATGAGTTAATGTGACGGCTTTGATGCCAGAACATGGCCAGGGAGTATGCAATTAGTATTTCTTCTTCATTTTACTTAGCGATATACTTTTCGAACTAATAGCTCCTGAGCATGAAATTATACATATACTCAAAAAACTGTAAGAATTTCTAGGAAGGACTAAGGCAGGACATAAGTCTAAATAAGTATTGGAGCTAAATCGATTCCTACTTATAATATAGGGTGCTTCGATTTCGATGCAGACTGAAACAGAAAGCAAGTGCCATAATTTGTTTTATTATTAACATTTAATTATAAATTTAATTGAAAAACAAAATCCTAATACAGAAAAAATTGTGCGTCCAATTTGGTTTAGACAGCGGAATAAGTAAATAAATTGTTTCACCAAACAAACAATTCAAATAATGGTTAGACTGGAAGATTATGGAAATAAGAGTAAGGCAAGATCATGTAAAACCATTTTAAGTTTCAATTTCAACTCTCAAAAAAGATTTTAAGATCAAACTTAAGTAGCATTATAATATTTTATATAAGGCCGGTGGTTCATTGTTAGGCTAAATTAAGTAATTATGGACTTATGTTATATGACACAATGGCCTATTCGAAAGGTACAGTTTCCAGAAATATGCTAGCTGGAATTCCTTACAATTGCCGAAATAAATTTGTGTATACATGAATAAAGCACGGGTTCAACACATTAAGCCAAGACGAAGGAGCTCTCAAAACGGAGAGGAAAATTAAATTTAACTTAACCAACAGATGCTTCATAAGTAATTGGTTTTTGGTCTCATTTTGAAAAGGTTGGAGGCCGCACAACCCTCGACAATGAATTTTCTTGTACAAATTTCCAAGAACTCTAACATTTCTATATTAGAGTCGGTGTCAACAATTTTAAATAACAGTTCCGTAACAATTGATGCTGACGAAAGCCAGCACAACGATATTAAGAACCTGTTCCGAGTATCTGTCACAGCATACTACAATTCATTTGAGATTTGAGCTTTGTAGTTGAGTTCGCATTCCTCATTTTAGCTATGTACAAGTGTTCTTGTAAATGACCGCCTCTCGACCTGCTAAGAAATTGAAAACAACTCATGCCGTCTGTATCAGATTTCACACAGAGCAGTTGGGCTGTCCAATTTGGTAGCACCGGGCCATTTCCAAAAGATTTTCTATGTAGAACCAATGTTGGGCAGCAAACGAAAACAACAACGATGACGATGAGGATTAAGGAGACCCGACGGTCTCTGCCGTTAAACAAATGCGACATGGAAAACGCATTTGCTGCAAAACGACTTCAGCCAACTCTGAGCTACAACTCAAAAAAAAGTGGGGAGGAGCCAAATAAAAACATGCCAAGTGCTGGGGAGGAGTAGAAGAGTTTGGGCATTGGCTAAGAGCAATGAGAATACAAGTCAAGACACACACAAACATACACGGAAATTAAATTACCAACAGACATGAAAAAAATAAATACATACAAGTACCCAGACAAGCACATGCAGACATACATAAGGGTAGTCTAGTGTGACATACGTTGCGTATACGCAACGGCGCGCCTTAAGACAAATAAGCGGGCATTATTCATGCTCACGCAGCCGTGCAATTCCACATTGCTTTGAGGACATATGTATATGTACATACATATGTGTGTGTATACATTTGTGTATATACGAGTTTATAATTGAGTATTTGTTAATAAAACGCGTGTCAATGTACATATGAATTGTTTACTTGTTCTAAAATATTAAACGACAGCTAAACAATTCAAATTGTTTTCTGGAACACGAATGACAACAATAAGAGTTGAAGAGATGAGCAAAACGTGCGGCGCAAATCTGAACCGCTTTCTCACAAAACCCAAAAGAAGGGTATAAAAAGTTATTGCATTGAATTTCTAGGAATTTTCACATAGACAATTGGTTAGTTGAGCTTCTCCGATGCGTCTAGATTTTATGTTAACAGAAAAAATTATATAATATAGATGGTACTTTGGTAATTATTTATAAAATTCTTTTTTTTATTTCTGTTAACAAACAAAGTTATCGACGTAAAGAACAACCATTTAAAATACTGAGGTGTGGTAAAACCTTAGAAAAGAAATTGGACTTTAAAGTATGAAATTTATTGGAGTTTGTCTAATATTTATATTAAAAAGTTTCATTACTCTTAAGTTTTATGATGTGCTTAAGTGCAGTACAACAAAATATGTTTTATAAATGAAAAAAATAAATCTATTGTTAGTCTCAGTGTACATTTGTGTCATTCATTCATGTGTCTATGGCTTAAAAAGGAAGAGTGTAATCTATTTACAATTTCTTTCGGTATTTTGCTGCACATTGTAAAATTACATATGCTTGTGAGTGGTGTGTGTGTAAAAAGTATGCAGGGCATTAAGTGCTGGTTAAATAGCAGCTCTACTGCACACAGATACACAAATAGCCAACGTGGTTCGAGTGGCTGGGCAAACAAGCAAAACTACGTGAAATTCATGGAAAATTCATGACTGAATTGACATCTGCGCCCATTATGTTCGCCCCACATACATAGTCCTTGTTGTAGACGTTGGTGTTCCTCCCAATCTCATCCTGCTTGTTTCTCTCTCCTCCTCTTGATGTGCTATGCAAATGACGAATTTGTAGGGCCAATATTTACGGTGCGCTTTTGGTCAGCTTTCGGCAGTCCATGTGGTACTCGTATTTGACCAGCAGGTGAACAAAGAACGATAAACAGTATAAATATTTATACAGCCAGAGCGGGTGCACCCAAATAAGTCAACTGTGACCAGTATACCTGACCAAAACAAAACAAAACAGGGGTAGGCAGGCTTGCTAGCTGCCACTAAAAGCAATCAACAGCGACACTTCCACTCATTATGGCAGCAATGACTGAAAAGACTTGCCACAGAAATGGCAAAAAGCAGAAGCAACAGAATCGTCGCCAGCTTACTGGCTCAATAGCTAATAAGGGTGGGCTGAAAAAGGGTGACTTGATTTTCTACAGACAATGAAGGATAGCGAGCTGACGACTGATGTGGCACGGCAAAGAAACCGAGGAAAATGCGTGCAACAGTTTCCGTTTTTGAGTGGTGGAATTTCACGAGACAGGGAGTCACGCAACTTAATTTTATTGGAGGCAGCACGGAGAAGGATCTCGGAGCAGGGCGTTTAGCAGTCGAGCGAGCTAAAGTAAAGTAAAGGTTAAAGTCAAGGACAAGGTCAATGAAAGCATATAAATGAGAATACCAAACACGTCTGTCGAAGAGTATGCATCCAAATTCATTAAAGGAGCTCAATAGATATTTTCTTGGAAATCCGGTTAATTGGTAAGGCCACATATATATAAAAAGAGGCTTAATAGATATTTTCTTTGAAGTCCTGTTAATTGGTAAGGCCACATATTTATAAAGAAGGTGGTACTCGCATATGATAGGCACATAAAAACTGATTGCTTTTAATTTCTATTTTGAGGCTATTAACCTTACTAGTTTTAGGTATTTCATTTAAAAAATTTCTTGGAAATGTGTTTTGAAGCTAAATGTGTTCTTAACTGCTCAAAAAATGAAACTAAGGAGTTCAGTTTGTGCGACTTGCGTAAAAAATTATTCTTACAAACTGTGTTTTGGTAGTTTGTCAAGTTGAAAATACAATTATATTCTTCAAAACAAGTAAATATACATGCATATATGACAACTGTACGTTTTAGTTTTAATTGCAATTTGTTTGATCGGGAAATGAATTACTCTTCCTTTCTCCAAAAATATAGTTTATACTTATGTTGAATTGCCATAAGCAAACTTCCTTGATTGAGTGTAATTGTGTTGTTGAATAAGAAAACAACAGTATGTTGAAAAGGTTATAATGGCTTCTCGACCACAGAGAGAAACAAGAAAATGAAATACAAGTAGAGAGCAGGAGCGCAGGAGAGAAAGAAATGGTTGGAATAAGAAAAAGAAGTCAAAAAACGCATAAAAACCAAAGAAAGCCGCAGGACATTGGCATGTATGTATATGAGGAGCTAGGAAAGGAGCCAAGCAACCAACCAACAAAGCAATTTGCAAGGGCAATAAGTTGCGTATACGCCACATTGGCTTGACCAGTGGGTAGCCAACAAAACAAGTACGACCGGACCCAGCTCGATGCGAATGTTACTTTAATAGCCAACCTAAGCATAAACACACACCCAAACACCCACACACCTACACACACAAACTGACGTGCTTAGAAACTTCAGCATTCATTGAAATTCGCATAAAATGCATGATAAATTCTCATTGTTGTTGACTGGTTGGTTGGGTGCTCCATAGACGTCAGCAATGGCCGGCATTTGATGTATCTTTGTTAGTAGGCATAATTGGTTTAGCACCCAAATGGCATGGTCGTCTATTGATTGATGTGCCCTGCGTGCTAAGTAGATGGATACAGAGGCGGTTTCAGTGCGACGTTGCTGCTTTGCATAAACAGTTAACAGCGAAGGGTGACGCAACTTTACGACTTATTGGACTGATTGAATGGCAGGAATTCAGCCTGGCTGGCAGGCAAGTTTATTATCAATTTTATAGACTTTTGCTCTGCTCGCCAATACATTTGTCAAGCGAATGACAGCTGACTGCCATCGATCAAAAGTTGCTCGCTCACCGTTAACAATTTATTGAGGCTCAACTGCCACTGTCGTGTATAACATGACGTATGCTTGATATTGCCTACAGCTAGGCTTAGGCACTTGTACCTAAACCAACAACAAAGTTTTCTTTTTATACCCTGTACCTGTAGGGTAAATGGGGCTATTAGGTTTGGGTCGGCAAGATGAATCGATATAGCCATGTCCGTATGTATTTTATTTTTGTATTTTAAATAAAAAATTTACGAACTTTGTACAGTGTGGATCTGTAAACAATTATCTACTCTTGATTTGAATTTGATCCAAATCGGTCAATTTTAAGAAAAGTTACTAGCCCACAAGCCGGAGCATCTTCGCTTTCTTTTTGCTTCTGCTATGGGCGCATATAAATCAGTGTCGGAAGTTTCTCTGAGTACAGGGTATTTCACAGTCGGGCTTGCTTGACTCTAGCGCTCTCTCTTCTTTTGTCCTATGTTCTTTATTTGCTCAGTATCGGGTATGGCCGAAGCCCTCCTGCCCACTGGCAAATTGAAATCGACAACATTATGCTTTAAATATTAAGTAGCAATCTTTTAACGTGCCACAATTTGTGAGGCATAGTGTCGCCAATGGGCTGAACACAATACCTGAGCATAGCCGTATACTGGGTTACTGTCTGTTGTTGCTGCTGCCGCTTGTTGGCCTTTATTGTTATGGCAAATAATAATAAATTGATTAGATGTACACTTACACAGTTGTGTGTGTGCGTTTGTTTTTGTGGCTTTATCATTGTTTTGCGCTTCACTAGCGCTTTATTGTTTTTATTATTGTTTCAGATTAAGGAAACAAAAACAAAATTTATGAAAGTTTGAGGTCAGCTTAAACAGACAGTTGAAAGGTCAATTTAGGGCGGCCATCGGTGTGAGCTGGTTCGAATTGCTGCCTGGGGCACATTTAAATTAAAATCAACAACGTTGGGTTGCCGCATGGCCTTCTTGTTGCCAGTGCTTGGTGCTTTTGATTGCCGCCATCAAAGGCACCACAGGCAGCGTGACATTTTCGTAATGAGCGAATTCCTTCTTGCAAAATACTCAACAGTAGAGCATTATCACTTTATCATACAATTTTGCGTTCTCAAGATTTAGGATACATATGTACGTTAAAAATATTCTGACTGACTCTCGTTTTTAATGCATAATAATTGATCACAAATTGTTTTTGAATCATTTAATCGTTTTCATTTTAAAGGGCATTCTTAAAACAAATTCAAAGATAGTGAAAATGTAGCCTTAGACCATTGTGATCATGTTCAATCGGTAAAGTCTTATCCAAATGAGATCATAAACCTACTCGCTGGCTTTTTTTTTTGAGTTTATGTAGCCAAATCATTTAATTTATTACTTGTATTTATGTAAATAAGTCGAAATACAATTAAGGGGCCACACTCGCTATACTTACATCTGTTTTTATGTTTGCCTTTTCGATATCGTTCAATGTTCTAGTTCCCCCATATTTACACAATTTTATTCAAAACCGGTTAAATTTATTGAATAATAACTTCAATAAGCCAAATGTGCCAGAGCACAACAATTTATTTTTTTATGAGTGTAAATAAAGATGAATGAGAGAGAAAAAAAAAATAGCTTTGACCATGTTACATATTCGAAGTACCGAGTTATATGGATTTTCACTGCAATGTTAAAGAGTGTGCTTATCGGTTGTTTTGCTGTCGGTTCGTTGGAATAATTGGACCATGAGTGACCATGGAAAACAAGAAATGAATAAGTGAGTAATGTACGGAAAGGGTCACAAATCAGAGGGGACCAACAAGTTTATTCATAGGAGATAGCAGTTTTAAGCAGTATTTAACATTAAACTACAATGCCATATTAATGCTTGTTGTTCTAAGTATTATATATACTTCTCTCCTGTTCGAATTCTTTCGATCACATTCTTTATATAACATTGTTAAAATAAAAGTAGTTACATTTTTGATGCACAACTGTCAATAATGAATACATTCTACAAGTTTTGCGTCGGAAATTAACAATTTGCTGTGTATTTGAGCTTCGGCTTGCCGATGCCTTAGTCTATTCCTGTTTACTCATAATTATAATTTCTCACGCTGTAGATCAAAGATGTCACTCGACATATTCGGAAAGCAATGGTGGCCTCAACTTTGGCTGAGCTGCGTTTGAAGGTAGCGGTCAGGTTCGAGAGGGGCCAACCGGCCATCCATTTGGATTGCGATGGCACAGAAATCGATGATGAGGAATACTTCAGCACTTTGGAGCCCAATGCCGAGCTCATAGCTGTCTTTCCTGGCGAGCAGTGGCGAGATGTTAGCAAAGCGAAGGCAATTGAATGGACTGATAATTTATAAAGCTATTTGCGTTTTTACAGCCCAGCGATTACAATGCAAATGTGAGGCGAAGTTCGTTGGATGCCAGACGTTTGCGGAAGCTTGTGAATCAACTGCAATTGCAGCAGAATATGCTGAACGATGCCGACTTGGACACATTGTCCAATATGGATCCAAACTCGTTGGTGGATATTACGGGTCGTGACTTAAAGGATAGCGACTATGAGGCAGCACGACGCTCCACGGAACTGTCTTGTTAGATTTCACAAGACAATATTAATCGGATTGATTTTGAAACGAAATTTTAGATACTAATGTGTGTGTATCCCACTTATTTATGTTTTAATTTTTTTTTGATCTACTCGTATATGAAACGTATGTGACAAAAATATAGCACAGTGAAACGTCGCTTATGATAGCTGTAAGGACTTTGTAAGAGATTTTTAACAGAAAGTAAGACACACAGAGAGAGAGAGAGAGAGAGAGAAGGAGAGGGAGAGCGAAATGTTTGTATTTTTAGAGCACGTTTTGATAGAACTCACTAAGGAGCGAAGCCTAGAACAAATTAAATGTTTCTTTTAATCCGTTTATACACAATTAAAAGCGCAAAGTCCAGTGAAAAGCGAGGAACTGGAACTAGTGGGTATATTTTATATAAAGTCCATTCCGTACAGATATGTATGTAGAGAAAGTCTATGTCTATTATCAAACGCAAAATGTTCCTAGACCAATATGCTAATCCTGTAAAGCTGTCTAAAAAATATTATGGTTATATCACACAACAATCATAGAATTGTACACGTAGCTGCAGCTTAGAATTTAGCAACCTAAAGAAAATGTTAAAAGCTTTATTTTCAGGCACCACTTCAACTACACTTGTAACTTTTGAAAGAACATAATAGGGAAATCTCTCCAGAAACAGTCAACACCAAGAAATCGCGAAATATGCCTGTTGGACCTTTAGAAATAAATATGCAAAGCCTTAATTTTGTATGACACTTAAGGAAAGTAACTATCCCTCGTATAGTAATAGTACATTTTAATTCTGTGTCTATTCGTTTTAATGATGTGCCAATAGCTAATTTATCTCGCGGTAATTAGGGAACAAAAGAATTTTTGGTAATTTTACTAGAAAGTTAATTCCACAGACAACAAATTAAAGCAAAACAAAACAAAACAAACCAAATACAAGACGAGAACGAAGACGAAACAAATTGTGCAGAGTAATATAAACGTTGATTGTACAATAAGAAATACACAGAAATACTCACAAAGAGAGAGTCAATAAATGTTTTGGCAATTTACCGAAATACCCAAAAAGTATATATTTTTGAAATGTGCAGCCCATTGTTTATATGAATGTGTGTATTGTATATGTGTGTTTGCACTTTTTATTGCACTTTGTTTAGCAATTAAGATTGAAAGAAAATTTATTGCAATTTACGATTTGTATTGTACTTCAATTTGTGCACTTTCCCGGCACATTCCGAATTGCAATTGCAAAATACATCCAAGTCTATTGTAAATCGATCAAATCGAAACGAATTTGCAGGAAAATAAAGCTCTACAAGATTATTCACCATGTATATGTTTTTGAAAAATAAATTGGAATTCCATGTCCTGCGTGAGTGCAAATTGTTTTAATTTATAATAAATAAACGAGCATTTATTCAGAAGCCATATTTTTCCATCATTTGGTTTCTCGTCCAGGCGGTTGAAGTTGGTGTTTAAATCTATCAAACTATCTACATGGTTCACAGGATGTACATCTTATTGTAATAATATTCAGTGAGTACTTTTATTCTAGTTATAGTTTTTAATTTCCTCAAAATGGCGAAGTTTTAATATTAATTTATGAAGATTTAAAGTCCTTTGATTTTATAGAAGATCATACTTATGTGCACAGATATGACCCGCTTTTTATTTTAACATTCAAAGTGAACAAAAGCTGTGTTTTTGGAACTTAAGCAGATTTGATTATTACGAGGCATCAGCAAGGTCTCCAGATTACATTTGGAAGCAAACATTTTTTGGATGTGCCTAACGTAATGCTCACCAATTGATGTTCTTGGTTGCCTTCACTGCAATTTTTCCTCAAATTGTCTCGACCATCATTGAATATTTTGTGCCAATAATAAAGTAGTGTTTTGGAGATAGCCTGTTTCTTGAAATCCTTCTGCAACATTCTTAACGTTTCGGCTGCAGAAACTTCATTCTTTTTACAATAATTAACTGCACTTTAATTTTGAATAAATTCGGGCATTGTAAAAATCGAAAAATCACTTTTACTAATTTTTTTTTTTTTAATTATTTCTTTTTCAATTTTCCTTTTTTTGTGGAGAGTACAGGATATTTTATTGTCGGGCTTGCTCGACTGTAGTGTTCTCTCTTGTTGAAACAAACATTGTTGAATAGTTTTGAACTAATAGTTTCTACTAAGTACCCAATACATGGTTTAGAATATGTTTTTAATCGCCTTACAGCACAATAAGTGCTGAGTAAAGTTCTGAGCTTAAAATATATATATTTTTTTTATATATTTTTCGTTTTAAGACTCGTGTTCTATTTTTATTTTCCATTAGTCAACAGATTAGTAGGATGACGGATCAAGAAATATGTTTGAAAAGTATGTATGTACTTTAAAATATTATTGTTGGCTTAACCAATGGGGAGAAACTTGAACCTATATAAAAACGATTTTAATTGCTTGTTTTGGGCTTGGCGTTGGCAAAGCACTGCCAGTAATGCCTTTTTATTAAACTATTAGCTTCTAAAATTCCTTGAAGCTGCAATAACAGAAGCATGAAGTATTAGGTTTTGCTAACATCTTTCATTGACTTTATTCCTATTTATGTGAGAATATTCTTTCAGCAGCTGCACCTGGTTCATTTTTGCTTACTTATTATGGCAATTGTGCTAATTGGATTTGTATTTGCCGGACCCATAGTATTAAATGCATTTACAATCCATTTTCAATGCCATGGCCAGAGGCACATTCGAAATTGCTTCATTGCTCTTGCATAATTGCTTAATCAGCTTGTTGTCTAAATTAGTGCTTTGAATCGAAATTGGACAACTATGGGAAAATGTATCAATGCGCCTAATGATAATTGCAGGCCTCTGTTTCGCATATTTGCTGACTGACACTTTCGACAGCCATTATCATGCGCTGGTTGTCTAGGCATTAGGTGAAATTTTAATTAATTTTGCAAATTGTCTAATTCGTATGGCATTGCCAGCATTGGTCTATAAAAGTGGTGCTTTAAAACTAAGCTATATTTGCGTTGCCATTACTTACAATTAGCTGCCGATGTCGTTGTCATCCAGCTGAAACTAAAATGCAAAGAAATTGCAGCTGGAAAAGATTTTAAATAAAAGTTGCAACAACAGCTTTCTTTTCTTCTTTCCTATTTATTTGCTGCCTAAGCGTTGGCCAAACAAAGAAAAACACAGATAAAACATGAAAAGATGTCTCCATTAGCCCGGGCCGCGTTTCATTTTTCTCTCTGATTCCCATTGAATTTTTATTTCGCATTTCATGAGCAGTTTAATCTTAAAGAAGTGTAATCCTATTAGTAATTTTATCTAGGAAATGTTGAAAAATCAATTCATTATCTAAATTACTAAAACGGCCTAAATCACTACTCACCTTTTTTAGGTATGAAGAACATGCTCCTTGGTCCTTTGGGTACAATAACTGTATATTGAGAAACTTTGCGATATCCAGCCCCATCTAAGAAGGTAATCGAGCGGTCAAAAGGATTGCAAATGTTACAAAATTTGATGGTCATAGAAAAAATATTTATATTACCATTTAGAGCGCCGGTATTTTGATTGGCAATCAATTGATGTTAAGCCCCGAACAATAGAGTCGTGCATTGAATTTTGTGCTTATCAGTGTCAAAGGACATTCGTTTCTTGCGGGAAATGCGTGGAAAGATTGGAATATCGCCGTTAATAGTGTATAATAAGTTTTTTCTAATTTTGTTGTGATCTCGCAATAAGTACATACATATTAGTGATTTATTCATTTACTACACAAGCTTGAATTTCTTTCATACTTTATTTTAATTTGCTTGCTGTTTCTTGAATATTTATAGAATATAGTAGAACAGCAGCCTATTAATAAAAGATAAATATACTATGTATACGAGGCCACGTACTAAGTACGACTTAGTCCTTCTACCCTATTTTGGTATGCCGAAATGTTCGAAACCGCAAAAATGATGCGACGGCGGCAACCTGTAAATAAAATTGGCGCAAATACTCGATACAAATATTTGTCGCCATTGCGAAATGGTTTGGCGAAATGTTTTGACATCTGTCGAAATTCTTGTGTATGTACGCGTATGTGTGTCGGAATTCATGTGTACAGTACAATCTGCTTTGGTTGACTAGCCCTACACATGCGGGTTGCCAATTTTTACAATGTAGCTGACTTTGTTAATGAAAATAATCACAATATTCATATTTTTGTTGATTGATTATTAAAGCAAGATCTATTGATGTTACTTGATGAACATTTTGAGTTGGCATTCCTGTTCGGTGACTTGGGTGACTATAATTAGCGGCACTATTTTCCTAGACAATGCCAAAATCTACTGATAGATATTGATAAGGAGATCAGAAAATAAGTAATTGATCTCGATTCACAGATTGCACTGTATATGCAAATAGTTGGTCAGGCAGCGACCCTGCATATGCCATTGCCTGTTTGTCTGCCTGTCCGTCCATCTATCTATGTATCTGTATTTCTCTATGTGTGTGCGTGCGTGCGAACGGGTTATATTTTTAGTCCAGTAAGTTATTTCCTATGCAACTTTTGTCCGTGCAGCTGGTGGTCGAAAGGTTCGAACGTGCCACACGAGGCTTGCATAAGCAACAACTCTCACACAAACATGCATACATATTTGTGCATGTGTATGGGGTTTGCATGTCAGCATGTCTGCATGTCTGCATCTGTGTGTATGTTTGGTGTTTCATTGTTTTTTATTAAAAGATTTATGCGCTTCTTAGCATCCACTAAGCACAGCTCACTGAGCTGCCAAGTGACTCGGCCCTTGACGTTTTCGGCCACACCTGTTGGCCTTGGGGTGTGGCAGGTTCGTAATGCCAATGCCAATACCAATGCTAGCGACCGGAAGCGGAACGCTGTTCAGGGTTCCAGTGTTGCGGTTAGTTGCTCTTGGCTGCCATTGTTGTCGCATCAAATGTATTAAAAATTCATTAAATTTATTTTTATGCATGCCAACAACTGTTGGCAACTGTTGAAGTTAGTGGCGTGTGCTGCTAAAGCTGCACTTTAGCATCGATTACCTAAGACTAGGAGGGTGAAGTAGCAGTATAAAAGCCAATGCCGTTGAGTGCAAATCTAGCTCTGCTGGTCTGCTCTGTCAATTGAGAAGTGGTCGTGTTGTGTTGCTCGGCGACTATTATATTGTTGTGTGAGTTTCTTTGGAATAAGGCTATCACTTAAAAGAGAATATACGAACTGCTAGTTGATGACAATGTGACTAAGCTGTCATTAGGCAACGCAAGGATCGAATGTACCCATGAACCTATGGCGTAACCACGACAACAACTTACAAGTCTCCTACTATTTTTGAGACTACAAAAGTACAACCTCAAAACCGTCGATTTAGTCTTTGTTTCAATTTCGTTGAACCTAGTTTGGCGATAATGTACGTACATATGTAGCACACCAAATGAGAATTTATATTTATATACTGTATATATATTTGTGCGTTCAGAATTTACAACGAAGAAATACTTCTTCTCACTGTAGCTTATCCTTTTCTGCGCCGTTTCGTAGACGCCCCATGTATTGAGCAGCCTGCTCATCGAGGACGTCACCAACTTTCTTTTTGTTAAACTGATAAAGAAAATATTTTAAAACACAGTTGTTGGTTTTATTTCATTTGACCGTTGGCTTTATTTATCGTTTAAAAATATTACAATTCGCGCTAAACACTAGAAACTGAAAACAAGTTATGCATATGCTTTGCGTTTCGAAAAAGAAAAACACGCTAAATGCTCATTGGCCACGTTCTGCTTCATTTAAATGCGCTTTCCACGGATAGACTCAACAGAAGATGGCGGGAAAAATGAATTTAAATACAAAAAGAGAAAATAATTTATGCATAACATATATATAGAGTGTTTGCGTGGCGCTTGTATTAGAAGGTGGGTCCAACGACGGATTTTCGAGCCTTATACCACGAATTTCTTCTGCTCGCCATACAGAGATTCGTACAGAGAGGGTGGCAAGTGTTCGGCCAAAAAGATTTGCATCTTCTCTGTGGCGGTTACGGGTGTGTAGCGGGCCATGGGGAAGGTCCTAGTCACAGCATCGATGAGCACGCGAAGCGTGGGCTGAATATCGGCAGCCTGTAAAAAAAAATGGAAGCGAATTAAAAGAAAATAAATGTACATGCATGCATATTTGAATACTGAATAATAGGATGATTTATTCGCTTACCTGTCTCGAGTACTTCTCCACAGATGTCATGGCCGCCTCGTAGTAGTCTTCGCCATAGGTTTTCTTTTGTTCCGAGGATAGTTGGTTCCACATCTGTTTGGCCTGGGAATGAAGGGGAAATAGTTGAAGCATATAATTTCTATCTGTGAAATTTTAATGAGTCTGCATGCAGCTGGCAGTATAAGTTGCAACTATTTTAACTTCAATGCCGCCGCTGCCACCTACGGCACATTATCGTAAAAACTAAAGCAAGCCAAACTGTGCCACGGCCTGGCATGTCCTTGCCATTAAGCACGAAATGGCCTGCCTCATAAAATGTTGTGGTTACTTGGGCGACAGCTGCAGCCCATGCGGCTTTGGTCAGCCAAGGAATCGGCTGCAACTTATGCTACCACAACCGTGTGCTTCCCCGCCGGGACTCACCTGCTCTCGCAGCTCCGTCTCGTTCAGCCAGCCGTTGCCGGGCGCAAATTCTCCAGCAGCCACCACGGATACATCGACACCCCTGGTGCGCATTTCCTGACGCAGACAGGCGGCAAAGCTGTCAACGGCTGCCTGTGTGGCACACTGAATGCCACGCACCGGAGAGGGTACCCGACTCAGGCCGGAGGTGAGGAACACAACGCGTCCGTGAGCGCGACGCACCAATGGCAGGAAGATTTGCGTCAATCGTGCCGAGCCTGCAAAACCGGAAGTCGCATTAAATTGTATATTTAATCACCAAAAATCAATTCTTAAAATAGACATAGAGTAAAAAATTATTTCTTAAAATAGAAATAGAGTACATTAATAGGCAAAAGGTAATTGAGTAAATTCCAGTGCTCGAAGGCATTGAGTAAAGTTTATAAAAACATATATTAAAGAGGGTGTAGCTCAGAGTTAAGACAACCGTAAGTGCAATTTGAATTATTTAACAATTACTGTTGATAATTATTAGGAAAAAGTAGATAAAATCTTTTGCTGAAATAATATTTAAATATTACATGCTTCGAAATTGTTACGTACAAGCCTACAATTTTATTTTTTCATTGGCTTCTCTTTTGAATTAAATCTGTCATTGCCTTGAATGCTTTTGCACACTGGCGCCCCCACTTACCCAATAGATTCAAGTCCAAGCTTTTGCGCAACACTGCGAATGGAATCCACTCCAGTTCTCCCAAAGCTATCCAGTGAGCACAGTGCACCAAAGCCCACAAGCCTTCGGCGCCATGCGGCAAGTGCTGAGTGACGTATCGCACCGCTTCCAAAAGCTATCGATTGGGTGGAAATATTTGATAAAGCTTTTAAGGCTCCTAATTTCCCAGCATTTTACCGTTTTTTCCGATGTCACATCCAGATGCAAAAGCTTCATGCGACCCGAGGTCTCTTCCTTCAGAATTTTTGCCTCATCGTTCGTATCATCAATGGGCGTGTTGAAGCCCGCGTAGACGGTGAAGCCGAGATCATCCAGTTTCTTCGCCAAATACCAGGCAATGGGGGACTCACAGCCGGTAATTAAAACACCTTTACCCGATGCGGAAACCTATGAAGAAAATACACAAAGAGGTTAATTATGTTGCGAATCGGCCTGCAGACTTGGCTATAACAAGGCAGTTTGGCACTTTTTTATATGAGACCACTCCTACTGAATTTTAAGACTGGAAATAATTTAAGGATCATGCTTTTTGATGCGATGATGGTAGCGCCGTCATTCGAACCGAGCAATTTACTCAGGAACGAACTCACATTGTGCGATTCCAGTTAGCTGGTTGAGCTACCCCAGGCCCCAAGAGGTTTATTCAACTTTTTTTTTTCAGTTACTTAGCACGAGTTTTTGAGGTTGCAATTGTGAAGACGTCGTTAAATGCATTTCACATCATTTTACTACCAATTAGGCACCAATCGGAGCTATGTCAATCAGTATGTGTGCAATTAGTGCTGTGTATAGACGGCTTGCATTTTTCTGTAGCATACTTTTGCGGGCTTAGCATAAAGTGTTTGTTGACCTTTTGACATGCATCTGTTTGGCTCCGAGCCACATGTTTTGACACAGTCGGGGGCGGCAATTAAAGATATAGAGAAGGTTAATTAAGCTTGAGACTACTTTTGACGACATGCGTAGGAGAATCGCTCAGGTGGGCTTGCACGCCCAATGGGCCTGCTTGAATTATACAAAATGTCTGATTAAAGTGTTTTCATTTCCAATGAATGTAAGTTACACCAGTTACCACTTAAGTTAATAATGTTATAATTACTTGGAAACTATTGTAACATGTTTTCAAACACTTGAAATGGATACATTTAATTTGCATTTATGTTAACGGCCTTGCTATTGTATACATGTTTATACCATCAAGCTATAGAAAATAAATTGCATAAAGTTGGCTAAACGTTACATAACATTTGCTGCAATAAAAAAAAACATTTGTTTGCTATATACCGATAGAGTATGAATATAAAAACAGGCGTATCAGACCCTACATTTCAGCACAACACTACTCGTACACGTCGGCCTAGATATGAATATCCGTTTGTTGTTTAATTGTCAAATTAAATTTTATTGAATGCGCAAGGCTATTAAAATGAAGAGTTGCCTAACAATTTTAAGGTATGTTTTGATTATTGGGCTGGCCAAAACAAAATCTTTGCTTACAGTATTCGTAGCTCGGTGATACAAATATATATTTTCTTCTTTAACTCTTGCATAACCGTATTAATAATTAAAACAGAATGTTACGCAAATATTTTATTTATCCATATGTTTTAATCTCAGATAAAATGGGTAAATATTTTGCAGACAAATAAGACAATTGGCGACTATAAATAAATTGTTCATATGTTTTGTTTTGAGACACAAAACAACAATTTAAGAATGCATTTATTTTTATCTATTTATCCGTCTGTTCATCAGTCCGTCTGTCTGGATGAATATCTGTATTTTTAAAAAGGCCGAGCTTCCATTTACATTTGAAATTTTATATACAATTTTGTGTAATAGGTTAATATAAGTTATAAGCCCAACTATTTCATTTTAGTAATGCAGTAGTGGTTTTGTTATATTTCTTCTTTTGCTTATGTAACACATCGATGCCCAAGATCTATCTCACCGTCCGTCCAAGCACATCAGCATTGACCTTTTTGGTTTCTCAACTAAAATAGCGAATTAATATTTTGAAAAGCCAAAATATAAAATTGTTTATACTATATGTACGAGTATATAAATATGTGTTTAAGCCATGCTGCTCTGTGCAAGTCGCTTATGATGAGAATAACTCTCAAATTGGGTGCATCTTCGTACCTACATGTATACTATATATATACTTGAAGGCGAGAGTCACATGAGACTAGGTTAGTAGCATACGACGCTACTTAGTAGTGGACCAAGTGTGGGCGCGGGGAGTTACTGTTGCGGTGTTTACAGCGGCACTACAACGTGCATTTGTCTAAACAATGGCACGAACACGAGCGGAACTTGGCAGCAGATCGGAAAATTAGGCAATCATTTGCCGTGCAAAAAATGTGTGCGTGCGACTGCATCTTTATAGTTCTTGGCCAAGTGAAGTCACTTGTGAATGGCAGTAGTCATAATTCATCATGCCATTAACCAATATAGACAGACAGCCATCGGAAGCACTTCTCTGGCCAAAGTATTAGCAAGAGTTCAAGTGTCAGCTAGTGCGTCAATGTGTCGGGTCTGAGCCTGACGATTTTGTCGGCTCTGGCGGTTAGTCGAACTTCATTGTTCACGCCATTAAACTGTTATAAAGTACGCTCGTAAAATTGCTAAAAACTCAACGTTTTGTGTGTGGGTGTGTGTGGATGTAAGTGTGCTAGAGTGTGTGTGTGTGTGTGTGTCTGTTATTATTGACTGTCTTGTTGACACCCATTAAGACGGGCTGGCATTTTATTGTTGCCATAAGTGTTTGGCTTATCAAATCAGTTAGCGTGTGCGTTAATAATAAAATATAAATATGCCGTGAGCTTTTGCCGGCAACGGCAGACCACAGACCACAAGCCACAGATTTCAGATCCCCAGGACACAGGACACAGGACACAGACCACAGAAACTGTCACAGGCAAGTAGAAGCGCTATTTCTCCCATCCCAGCGTCTCAGCTGGTTTTTGTTGTTTTAGCCATGCACTAAATACAAGTTATTTTGTTCGTCCCTTTTTCTTTCTTTTATTATTTTTTACTCTTCTTAGCTTTATGCGACTTTACTTATTTTGCGCTCCATACTCTGCCATAAACTTGCTTCAACTTTTGCTCGCTGCTGTTTTTCTTGCTCCAGCTATTGGTCCAACTGTAGTTTTTCCCTCTGAGCATTACTACGTGTCACGATGTTTACGCTTTTTGTAACTCCGGAATTTATTGTGGTTTTGCAGAAATTACTTTAAAGTTTCAAAAAGAAATTGCACGCAGAAGGGAAAAAGCGTTGCTAAGTTAACGGGAATTTTGCAATTAAATGCAGAAAAACCGAACAAAATGCTTAGAGTCAATTAAATGGCAATGGGCAGAGGCTACAAAATACTATAGATAGGAAGCTTCGAGTAAAACACAGATGAGCAGCAACAGTTGTTAGAAAAGTTTTAATATTACATTCTGCAGCCTCCAGCGTGTGGCAACTTTAGATTAAGAATGTCGGCCAAGCACAAAAACTACACCAGTTAGAAATGCAAAATGCGAACCCTGTCTGTGGAAGTCAAGTTTAAATTGAAAATGTTGTTTGAAATTTGTTATGTGCTCATCATAATTGTATGGCTGGGCAGCAAAAAAAAAAAAGCCTTACTTGAGTTATTCATTCGGAATTGAGTCATTCTCAATCAATAGACTTTTGATTTCCAGCTGAAATAATTCAGCTGAGGTAATAGTTTTAATCCTACCTCATCTAGTATTGCCTTTTTACTATTCCTTTGTATATTATGAACAAAAAATTGCATAAGAACAATCAATATTTTCATATTCAGTTCAATGTTCTCATTTTCCGTATTTAAATCAAATATAAACTATGAAAACTTTACTAAACACATATTCAATTACACATTTAAAACAGAGTATACATCTTCATCATGAAAGTGGGTCATACTCAATGTAATGTTAACCCATATTTAATTTTAATATGCGCCCACTTTAAATAACTAAGTTTTAAATGTTGAATAAATTATATTTTATAATACATTTCGATATTTTGTTCAATTTTAATTTGAAATTTTTGGTAGTTGATTTAAATATACTAGAAATATTATTACATTTTCTTATTTTTAATAGTTAATCAATTGTAAAATAAAGACAAACATTGACTAGAAGTCCCAACAGTTGTGTGGTATAAGTATAAATGTTAAGTCCTGTATATGTATATACGGTCGTTAAGAATGTGTCAAGTGTTTCCGATCAGTTATCCCTCCCTTTTAATATCAGTATTGATCTAAGCTTTAAAAATTACTTTCTGATAAAAATGTTCTATAAAATATGATATGCAAATAATCATTATTTTAAATATTAAAATTGTGGCTAGAAGAGTAGACAAAAAAGTGGGAAACATAAGTATTTTATTATTAAAATATACTTTGAAGGCATAACTGCTCTACCCCACCTTATAGGTACGGGCATATGCTGCGAGTACTTTTTAAAAGCAATCTTTCTTAGCTTCCTATTGTCGTCAATGAACAGCAATGATGCGTAGATGAAACCATGAAAGGAAACCAGCATCAAAACCATAATTTAAATGTGGCAAGACATTCTGTCAAACTCACACTGTGACCTATTCTACCATTTATTCTGGTTAGCTTCATTTATATAGCACGAGCTGGCATGCTCGATAGGTGCGCCCACATTGTCTCAAAGGTCTTATTCTTATTTTGACAGTAATGACGACAATGACATTATTGTTTACATTTTACACACAAAACACAAAACGAGTACACGCATGCGATAGTCATATGCGTCTCAAATTATTTCTATCAACTACCGTCTACTGCCCGCTTCCATCCACATCCACCACCCCTCTTGTTTTTCCACATCACGCCCACTGAGCTGGTCCAAGTTGATTTCATTAGAAACTCGGCAGTTGCGGGATGTGTTTCTAACTTGTTCTAGTTCATGCGTTTACCACACGTTAGACCTGCAACTCTCTATGCAAGTATCATAATGTATTAGTGGTTACAGTAGAGCCCCTAAAAAGTAGCCAGACGGCATTTCGAAAAATGATTTATATTACAAACTCCACAGAAACCAATGATTGCTCAAATATCAAAACCACAGATGAAGAAATGATTAAGAAAATGAAAAAATAATGGTAGTAATAATTTGCACAGTAATAAAAAAAAAACGCAAAAGTGACATGTTGAGGGCTTAGTTTATTGGAAATGATTAAAATAGATGGAAGAGGTCTTACAAAATGCATTTAAGTATACCAAAAAAAATTTGTTTTTTAAGTGATTTTATATTTTGTGATTGTTGCTTAAAAGCAAATGAATAATACTTTTCAAGATTTTCTCTATCTCTAGATCTACTTTTTTGCCGATTACCACCTGCAGAGTAAAGAG